CCCAAAGTGGACCCTGAGACAGGATTCAGGTGCAAGTAGTTAGTTTGGGAGGTGAGGCCAGTTAGGGCAGTGGGGAAGTGAGACAGGGAGGGGACGCAGCCAATACAGGAGGCCCTGAAGAACAGGCCACTGCTGTAGGCATCTGGGACTCAGTCCCACTAGGGACCTCTGGTCACAGACCTCTGGACTGCCTCAGCGCTGTCCCACCCGAGCGCAGAGGATTTAACCTGGGTCTCCCAGCCTAGCAGCCTCTATTCTCTGAGAGTCGCACTTCCTCCTCCCTCTCCTTATTTTCTTTCCTTCCTTCCCCTTCCCTCCACCCTTACCCCTCCTCCTCCACCCCCTTCACCCTCTTCTACACCCCTCCTCCCCAATAGGCCCCCCGAAGCCATGTTTCTTCTGTGACCCCGCCCACAGCCTTAGGTGATTGGACCAGAGATAGATAGCTAGACCAATCAGATTCACTCTCTGGGACTCTGGAGTTAAGTAGTTGGTCTGTGGTCTCATGTGAACTGTGGCCACCTAATGTGGATGCCACGATGGCTTTGTTTGGTGACATGCCCCCAGAGGAGCAGAGAAGTCTGGTGTTTAGGGAGATGCACAGTGGGTACAGAGAGAGACAGGCAGAGGCGGGACCACACAGCTTCAGACAAACCGAAAGTACAACCTAAGCGCAGGACACTACAGTTTCCCTATTAATAAGTTCTCACCACGGGGGCGCCTGGGTGGCTCAGTCGTTGGGCGTCTGCCTTTGGCTCGGGTCAGAAATCCAGGGTCCTGGGATTGAGCCCCGCATCAGGCTCCCTGCTCAGCGGGGAGCCTGCTTCTCCCCCTCCCACTCCGCCTGCTTGTGTTCCTGCTCTCGCTGTGTCTCTCTCTGTCAAATAAATAAAATCTTTAAAAAAAAAAGTTCTCACCACGTTTCCTGCACTTGAGTTCTGTGAGACAACAGTGTTTCCTCAAAAAACTACCTTTTCCGCTAAAGAAAGCCACTTGATTTTTCTGACCTGTAACCAGAAACACCCTTGAGATAAATTCACCCAAGCCGCCAAGCCCCATTCCATTCGTGACTTGACTTCCTACTTTACAAAGAAACAGAAACCACCATTCTTGACATTCCACTTTGAACATCTTTGAATGGCTCGCATATTTCCATCTTAGCTACGCCTTCCCACAATTTTCCCTTGACTACACTTCCTGTTAAAAACCACCCTTACCCTCAAGCTGAGTTTAAAGTAGTCCACATTCGTGTCTCTATTCTCTCCCTCGAATCAGTGCCTACATGCACTATTATTTTGCACGGAAGTGTGCCATTCTGAAGATGTGATTCTAAGTGTCTATGGGATTTTTAGGTCTGGCGGTTCATAGACTGTACAGGTTTGGAGCTCAGAAGGCAGATTTGGTCTGGAGATAATAGATTTTTAAAATCTATCGGTGATTTTTAAAAAAGTAATGCATGAGTACGGTAGAAAAACTTCACAGAAAGGTGATAAATAAGTCGCCTGACAAACACTGACAAATCCCCCAGTTCCCTCCCCAGAGACCATCTTATATATCCTTCAGACGCAGCCAGCTTCACCGACATGGGACCTGTGCTGTTACATAAGGACCCACACATAGAAGGGACCTGAGCTTGATTTAATGCTCTGCTATTGCCATCTTGAAATTCTTAATCTTGAATAAGGGACCCCACATTTTCATTTTGCACTGGGCTCCCAAATTATGTAGTAGGCCTCTTTCCAGCTATATTCCATGCATAAACACATGATATACACATGTACCCCTCTTTCCATCCCTTTTTCTTTTAGCATTTGGTGATTCTTAAAAGAATGTGTGGGTGAAATTTCCCAGGGAGAAGATGTAGAAGTTATTAGTGCTATTTACCAAATATATCTGCTTCTTCTGTTTCTGGGCACAGAGGGGGATATACGGTGAGACTGCATTTCCTGGTTCCCTGGTAGTTAGATGGGGGCAAGTGACTAGTGTTGACAAATGAGTTAGGGGCTAAAGGGAGTGCATCATTTCTAGGTCAGAGTATTTTTTTTCAAAGATTTATTTTTTTTTAAGATTTTATTTATTTATTTGGCACACACAGAGAGAGAGCGAGAGCAGGAACACAAGCAGGGGGAGCAGGAGAAGCAGGCTTCCAGCCTAGCAGGGAGCAGGAGAAGCAGGCTTCCAGCCTAGCAGGGAGCCCAATGCGGGGCTCGATCCCAGGACCCTGGGATCATGACCTGAGCTGAAGGCAGGCGCTTAACGACTGAGGCACCCAGGCGCCCCTATTTATTTATTTTAAAGAGAGAGAGCACACAAGTGTGTGCGTGTGCACGTGAGGGGTGGGGGGAGGGGCAGAGGAAGAGGGAGGGGGATAGAATCTCCATCAGACTCTGGCTGAGCACAGAGCCCCACACGGGGCTCTATCCCAGGACCTTGAGATCATGAACTGAACTGAAACCAAGAGTTGAACGCTTAACCAACTGAGCTAGGTGCCCCAAGGTCAGAGGATTTAAATGCCACTGTAAGACCTGCCAGATTTCTCATTCAAGAGTTCAAGATAGTGGCTGTTCCATTAGTTTTGTTTTCCGAGTGACTACGATGAGCAGAGCCTCCTGGGTGATCGATCCATGGTGAATATTTATTGTCGATGAGAAAAGGACATTGTTTTTAAGCCATGAGATTTGGGGGCTGTTTGTTATTGCAACATAACCTGTCTTATCAGGACTGATAGAAATATAAAAAATACTGAGACAGAATTTGTGGGAACTGACACATAAAAGGAGAAGAGTCACAGAAAGATAAGACAAACTGTCATAGAGGTAAAGATGAGAAACTAGGGGGCGCCTGGGCGGCTCAGTCATTAAGTGTCTACCTTCGGCTCAGGTCATGATCCCAGGGTCCTGGGATAGAGTCCCACATCGGGCTCCCTGCTCTGCAGGAAGCCTGCTTCTCCCTCTCCCACTCCCCCTGCTTGTGTTCCTGCTCTCGCTGTCTCTCTCTCTGTCAAATAAATAAATAAAATCTTTAAAAAAAAAAAAAAAGATGAGAAACTAGGGGCGCCTGGGTGGCTCAGTCGGTTAAGAGTCTACCTTCGGCTCAGGTCATGATCCCGGGGTCCTGGGATTCAGCCCCCGCCCCACCATCAGGCTCCCTGCTCAGTGGGGAACCTGCTTCTCTCTCTGCCCTTCCCCCCCACTCATGCTCTCTGTCGCACACACGCCCTATCTCCCTCTCTCAAATAAATAAAATCTTTTTTTTTAAAGATTTTATTTATTTATTCGAGAGAGAGAGAGAATGAGAGATAGAGAGCACGAGAGGGAAGAGGGTCAGAGGGAGAAGCAGACTCCCCGCCGAGCAGGGAGCCTGATGTGGGACTCGATTCCGGGACTCCAGGATCATGACCTGAGCTGAAGGCAGTCGCTTAACCAACTGAGCCACCCAGGTGCCCTCAAATAAATAAAATCTTAAAAAAAAAAAAAAAAGATGAGAAACTAGAAGAAGGGGCCTAGGGGAGTCATGGAAATCAATGGAAGAAATTGCTCAAGAGGTAGGGAGTGGTACATGGTGTTGGTCCAAAAGGTTAAATAGAATAAGGAATAAAACATATCAACTAAATATGGCAACTGAGAACTCAGTGGTAAGCTTATTAAGAACAGTATCCATAAAGTGGTAGTAGGAGAAATAGTAGACAGGGGCTGAGGAAGCATAGGGAAGGGCATGAGGGATCAGTGTATGCATTCAACAGAAAGATAGGAGCCCTGCCATGTGCACTTATGAGAAGGGCCAAGAAAATTTAATCTCATCTTCCTTCTGCTCTCCAGTGTCCTGAACCAAGAGCCAGGAGGTAAGGTACTCTAAAATCATAGGTTATCAGAAAATTTGCTACTGGAAAATGCATCAGTAAGAATGAAATATTCCACTTTTGCCTGGAGGATCTAAGTCACCTTGCCACAGAGAAGCAGCCTCAATTTGCATCTTTGGTGCAGAGCTTCAGATAAAAGGTTTCTAGACACAACCTTCAACACCTGTCTTAGCTTTATTACTTTCAAGGAAGCAGAGCCCTGGGTCCACTTCGCAATCCGGATCTGAGATTGACCGTTTTATACAAACCTGCTTTGTTTTGAGCCTATCAAAATCTGCTTTCATTTAAATTTAATCTAGACTCCACCATCACTCATAATCCTATGATAATTCTGTCCCTTTGATGATGGTGGTAGCTTCTCTGGCATGAGCTCTTTCTCACTGACTGAGTCAGTAAGCCTCATTTTGCTGAATGGCAAGTTTGTTTCTGACAGTCTTAGGCTGATTGGGCTAGGTCACGGGCATAACTCTGGGGGGCAGGACAGAGAGCAGATTTCAACAGATCTCAAGGGTCACGCAGGAAATTATCCAGCATAGAAATAAAGTCTCCTCCCCTCCCAGCCCCAGCAATTCTGATCCCCCCTACCATCTACAGACCAGAGTGCTGTGGAGGAAGTGTGGAGAGGGAGAAGAGGGAGAACTGCATTCACCCGGCGTTCATAGACATCTGGGGCTGAACAAAGTGTTGTAGAAATGAATCAGTCAGTCTCTGAGTGGGCCTTGAGGCAATAGAAAGATCTAGGCCCTTTATTAAGGCACAATGGAAGCACTGGGTCTCCTGACATTTGAAGGGCTGCCCCTTTCCCCCAACTGAAAGGAGTCCAAAAAAGTCAAAGAAAAAGGGGATAAGGGAGAATGCCAAAAATGCCCTTCCTTTGAACACCATCTTTGTGCAGGCATCTGGGGGAGGCCGACTGGAGCAGGGTCCTCTGCCAGCCAGGCCTGTAGGACCTCCCTTCTCTTGTTTATCTCCAGCCACATCTGGGTTAGCTGCCAGGGCCCGCCCCCACTCTGCCCTCACTGGAGGAACTCAAACATAAAGGCTCCTGCTAAGAATCTGTTTCATTTTGCTTTTACTGGTGGACCTGCTGTGGTTGGTCTGGGAGGGTTGAGCCCTGGTCGAGACCCTAACGGAGAGTGAGCCTCTCACCATGTCAGCCTGTTGCAGCTGGAAAGATATTTTCCAGTATGAGACAAACAAAGTCCTCCAGATCCAGAGCATGTACTACGGCACCCTTAAGTGGTTCTTCCACCTGCTGGTCCTTTCCTACGTCAGGTAAGTGGGGCGTGGGGAGGACCCCAAATGTCTGCAGTAGTTGACAGCACAAAAATCCCCAAGGTACAGCTTCTGGTGCTTATCCTGAATTCCACGTGGTTTTAAATCTGAGACTTTTTTTCTCATAGCAAGCTGGGGCTGGAGGTGCCGGGGCCGGGGTGGGGGGGGGCGTGTTGGGGAGTATCCAGCTGAAGGCGGGGGGAAACAGTGCTAGTCTGCTGTGGAAAGAAGCCACAAGAGGCAAAGCGACACTTTGGGTTCTACCCCAGGCCTGCCAGGGTGAGCTGGGCAGGGCATGCCTGGGGAAAGTAGGAAACGGGCAACACCCTGGATTCCGTGGGAGAAGGCAAGGATTCAGAGCACACCTGGTGATAATCCTGGCATCTGTCTGAGTCATCATGGCTTAGCGGGGGAACAGGATCAGACTCGTCAAGGTAACTAGGTCCTCTCTAGTGTCAGGAAGGCCCCCTCTTGCTCTTTTTCATTTTTGTTTCTTAACAGCTTATTGAGATATAATTCACACACTATACAACTCACTCATTTAAAGTGTACAATTTAGGGGCGCCCGGATGGCTCAGTCGGTTAAGCATCCAACTCTTGATTTTGGCTCAGGTCGTGATCTCAGGGTCATGGGATTAAGCTCCGTGTCAGCTCCGTGCTCAGCACGGAATCTGCTTGAGATTCTCCCTCTCCCTCTCCTTCTGCCCCTCCCCCTGCTCACGAGCACACTCTCTCAAACAAATAAATAAACAAATCTTTAAAAAAATAAAATGTACAATTTAGTGGGTTTTAGTATTCAGAGTTGTGGTGCAACCATCACCACAATCAATTCTAGAACATTTCATCACCTCAAAAAGAAACTCCACGGCCCTAAGCCATCACTCCCAATCCTTCTGATCCCCCATAGCTCTGGTGACCAGTGGGTTTACTCTCTGTCTCTGGGATTTGTCTATTCTGGACATGTCCAGAATCATGCACAATGGAATCATGCACTATGTGGTCCTTTGGGGCTGGTTCCTTCCACTCTGCATCACGTTTGCAAGATGCATCCATGTTGAAACATGTATCCCTACTTCATTCCTCTGTATGGCCAAGTAATATTCCATTGTCTGGATAGACCTTTTTTTTGGGAGGGGGTGGACATTTGGGTTGTTTCCAGTTTGGGGCTGTTATGGATAATGGATAATGCTGCTATGAATATGGGTGTATGCGTGTTTGCATGAACATGTTTGCAGTCTTCTTGGGTATTGTACCTACAAGTGAAACTGAAAGATCATTCAGTAACTTTATTTTTGACATTTTAAGGAATGACCGATTTTCGGAATGGCTACACCATTTCTTATTCCCACCAGCAATGTATGTTCCAGTTTCTCCACAAGCTTACCAAACACTTGCTCTTGTCTGTTTTGTTTGTTTGTTTGGATTATGGGCATCCTAGTGAGTGGTTCTCATTGTGGTTTTGATTCACAAATAGTTCCTTAATGGCTAATGCCCCATTGCTCTTTGTGATGATGATGATGATGATGATGATGATGATGATGATGACGAAAACTTGCATCTCTAAGGTCAGACAGGGTAGTTTACTGGCTAAGGTTAGAGCAACCTATTTGATAATCCTGACTAAGTTTCCTTGGCCAGGTCACTTAACCTCTCTGAGCCTCCCTTTCTGCATCTGTTCGTAGAGTCATCATAATTAAACAAGAAAAGGCATGGCAAACACTTCTCGATGTCTGGCATAGGGTAAGAGCTCCACAAATAGCAGCTATCTTTAAAAATAATCTTTTTGACTTAAAAATAGAATTACCATATGATCCAGTAATTCCACTACTGGGTATTTACCCAAAGAAAATGAAAATACTACTTGGAAAAGATATATGCATCCCTATGTTTACTGCAGCATTATTTACAACAGCCAAGATATGGAAGCAGCCCAAGTGCCCACTGATAAAGGTTTGGATAAAGAAGATGTAGTATTTATACAATGGAATATTGCTCAGTCATAAAAAAAGACTGAAATCTTGTCATTTGCGACGCCATGGATGGACCCTCTGGGTCAGTCAGAGAAAGACAAATACCATATGATTTCACTCATATGTGGAATTTAAGAAACAAAACAAATGAACGAAGAAAAAAATGGATCATCCAGGTAGAAAGTGTGTTTCAAAAAGGATTCAAATCCAAAACCAATCCAATGCTCTTAACCCAGAAAGCACACTACTGAAGGGTAACTGGGCAGACTGTGAAAGTCTGAGTACTAGGCCTCCTCAATCCCTGGCCAATCAATCCTTCTTCCTTCTTCACCACGAACTTTGTCTTTCTGCATTGGCCTGGGCAAGTGCAGGACAGGGAGGGAGGCTGAAATGAGGATCCCATAAGCTCACCCTTTTCCATTGTTCATTCATTCCCCCAAATAAATTTTAGACTATCTACTATACGTCAGGCACTGTTCATGGCTCTAGAGATTATAACAGTGAGTGAAACAAAGTTCCTACAACTCATGGGGTTATATGCCAGTGGAGGAGAGAGATATGATACAAAAAAAGCAAAGAAAGGCATAATAAAATATCTGATGGTGATAAATGCTATGAAGAGTAATAAAGCAGAGAACAGAGAATGATAATGGGCAAATATGAGTGCGTGTGGAATAGAGACATTTGGGCTGAGCTCTGCATGAAGGGAGGGAACAAGACATGAAGTATCTAGGAGAAGAGTATTTCTGGTGGAGGGAACAGCAAGTACAAAGGCCCTGAGGTAGAGACTTGATAGGGCACTCAAAGGAAAGCAAGGTCAGTTTGGCTGGAGCATAGGAAACAAGTTGGTGAATGAGAGGAAGGGCGTAAACTGGAGCGATAACACTGGTAGGGGAGGAAGGGCAGATCACTCAGGGCCTTGGAGGCCGCTCTGAGTTCTCTGGACTTTATTCTGAGTGAGTTGAGAAGCCGTAGGAGGATTTTAAGCAGAGAAGTAAAAGATATTTTCATTTTCTTGGGAAGATTTCCCTCCTCCTTGGAGACCAGCCCTCTCAGAAGATTTTCCAGTGAATACAGAAGAGTAGGGAAGATTGAGAGAAAAACAGGAGAACAGACTCCACTCAAACTGCTTCTCCCTTACCCAGTCAACCTCTACTCAGGCTAACAGAAAACACCATGAAGATGGTGCTGTTGTGCTGGTTTGTGGCTGTTAAATGTAGTTCCTGGCTGGCTGCCTGTTTCATGGGAGGGTTGCCACACACCTTCCTGTGAGGTTGGGCCTTTTCCAACTGAGTGGAAGTGAGTCCACCACAGAGATGGGAGGGGACGCCAGAGGCCGGGGAGGGGCAAATCCAACCCAGGCATGCCCCCCCCCCCCCGCCCTGTGGCGCCTGCCACTTGAGGGCAACAGAAACATCAAGAGATTTGCCACGTTCTCATCCTACCCCAAACTCCTGGGTGATGTGATAGAGATTGGGGGGGGGTGCAGAGAAAACCCACTTCAGGAGGAGACCGCCTCTAGGAAGAGGAGAATCCAGCCGCCTGATTCAAGGGACTTAAAGAACAGCGAATGCACGTATCTGAAAGCAAAAAAGAGGAGCAGCCCACAGGACAGCATGTTCCAGAAGCTGGTGAGAGAGGAGGGAGGAGCAGGGGCCAAGGGCAGAGAGGTAGGCAAGGGCCAGACCACAGGAAGAGTTGGAATTTGTTCCTCAGGGCCACGGGAAGCCGCTGACAGGGTTTGCAGAGGGGACTGCAACCATTTGATTCCTGTTTCTAAAAGCGCTCTTGGGCCTCTGTGCAGAAGGCAGATGATAGGGGGCAAGAGTGATGTGAGGAGGGTAGTGAGCGGGGCGCCGACATCGCCCAGATGAGAGAGGCAGTGAACCGGATGATAACGGGAGAGCACAGGTGGGCAGAAGTGGGCAGAACAGGGATAAGCTTTGGAGGCAGAACTGACAGATTTGCTAGGAGGCGGAAGACGACTCTGGGTTCCCAGGTGGATGAGGATGCCTTTACTGACAGGAGGAAGACTGAGGGGCAGTACGCTTGTCGACTAACAGCATCGTCAGCCATGTCGAGCAAGCAAACAACTACTACCATCTATCGGCATCCCTCCATTAATGTCTGCACTAAAACTTTAAGAAAGCTGGAGGCACACAGTCTACTGAAATGGTCATTTCAAATGAATAAATTTAGCTTTATGGAGAGCTTGCTTTGTTGTCCTGGTTTTCTCATTTCACCCTGGAAACCGAGGTTTCTCTATGGACCAGCTCTCACCCACGCACGGGCTTCTAGGCACCACCACTCCAGCCCAGCCTCCCACCCAGGGCAGGAACCTCCCAGCCCTCCTGGGTTTTTAACACAGTGCTGAAAAGAGGAACGATGGATTATTCACAGAGCGGCACGCATCAGCTGGCTGACGTGCAAGATGCCAAGAAGGGGAGGCAAAGGTGGGACTGGAGAAGCCAGCAAGAATCATATTATGAACAGCCTTGAACTTCATCCTGAGGACACTGAGAAAGCACGGAGAGTCTTCCCCACCCTGCCACCAACATTTCATTATGAAAAATTTCAACCATATAGATTTGCCTTTTCTAGACAATATTTCTTCTCAAACTCAGCAGAGCAGATTCTATTTAGAACCAGATACCCTGCCCAATATAATACTAACATCTCCTTATTACAGAAAAAGAAACAATGACCCAGAAAAGTTAAGTAACTTAACATACGGCTATGTAGCTAGTAAGCAGTAGAGCCAAGACTGAACCCAAGCTTCTCACTCTAGAGCCCAAACTTTTACTACTAAATCACATAGAATATGGAGGAGACAGGAGCACAAACGGAGGCAGGGAGGCCATTCAGGAGGCTACTGGGTGGTCCAGGTGAGAGGTGATGGTGACCTGGACTGACAGTGGTAGAGGAGAGAAGCAGATGAAGAGCATTAGGAAGATAAAACAAGGTTTGACAATTGAATGGTTGAGGGGTAATGACGGATGGGATACTAAGGAATGTTTCTGGATTGGGCAA